AGGGGTCGGTATCGGAAGAACGAAATTCTAAAAGACGAACAAACGAGATGCAGAAAGCATGCTGAGTCGAAAGCATTGGAGGAGCGAAGAAACGAAATGCAGACTAGTTGGATAGTAGAAAGATTGGAAGGTCGGTCGACTCGGAGGACCGAATGCCGTACACCAGTGATGCACAACCTTTTCCCCGTAGAGGGCCAAAATTTAGATTTCTGCTCATGTTTGAGGGGATGGAGGGCCGCAGACCCTCGAACATGAGCATAAATAGGCCGCATATAAATATGGATCTTTAGAGACCGGAGGCATCCAAGGGGCCGCAAAAAGGGTCTCTGCGGGCCGCGGGTTGTGCATCACTGCCGTACACCAAAACTGGTTATATTTGCCTGACTCACCCCCTCCCCACAGAGGTCTGCATGAGCCTAGGACAGTGGTGCCCAACCTTTCCGGCTAGGGGGCCACACAGCTCACTCCCGCAGCCATCGCGGGCCAGTCATTAGTATTGTAGGAGACTATTTTAAGGAAACCTAAGGGTATTTATTGTGGGTTAGGGCTTCGCGGGCCACTTGTAAGCACCTCGCGGGCCACTTTTTGCCCGCGGGCCGCAGGTTGGGCACCACTGGCCTAGGATATACGTTCCAAGGCAGTCGACTCTCTAGTTCTTGACTCTAGTTCGAGACTTCTCTAGTTCATTTGTTCAACACTAGACGTGCTTTTATCATCTCTGTCAGTGTGTATGGCATAAAGTGCAAGAGTCGCTTCGTGGAAGCCGAAAATGTTGCGTTGAAAATCCGGATAATGACCTGCCTTGCATTTGTACCTTTAGATGATGTCAGCAAGGTGTTCGTTCCATGAGTTGCTCGAAACCATGCCAAACAATGCTGGTTCAATTACGACATATTTTCGGGAGGCTTACATCGATCGCAGGTCACGTGGAAGGCCCCGAACTTCGCCTTATAGAATGCTCGTCAGCGCACTCTTGCGGGAGACCCCCGTCTCGTATTCCGGGCCTTTCAATAAAAAAAAACCTCTACTTTCCGTCCTTTCACTCTAGGATGTATTCCGCATTCAGTTCTTTCTGTCTTCCAACCTTTCGAAATAATGTCTTTCGACCATTAAATGGGGACCGTTGTTGAGATTGGTTTTAAAATGCTATTTTTCTAATCTAGGTCAGGGTTTAATTGAGAACTTTTAATAAAATTGCTTGATCACTTTACATTGCTCACAATGTAAGATAAATTTGACTGGATGTTTGAAGTAAAAAAAGTTATCAAGCCAAATTTTTATCAATTCATCAGGTTATAATCGCATCCCTCCGTAAATTTGGCGAATGAAAAATAATATTACATTAAAATTCGAATTTGAGCGGTCTTCGCTGTCCCGCACAGCCAAAGTACTTGCGTGGAACCGGGTCACCCCGATCAGGAGGATTTTTGCTTTCCGACACGAATGGGGACAAGGGTGTGGGAAAGTCCATTCTGCCGGTTTTCCACGGGTATCCAGGCATCCTTTAGGGCAAAAGAGGAGGAAAAAATCACTCGGACGTTGTGCGCTCAAGTGGAGGAAGTGGAAGATCGTCCTTCATTCTCCAATCGTTATTTTTTCATCGTCTATTTTCTTCCTTTCACCTTTTTTTTCCCTTCGCGTCTGCCGATTATGACTCACTCGATCGCTCGTGATGAATCTATAACTGCATTTTGCATCAGTACTCTGCCTATCGATTCCGCTTCGTATGAAGCTTATGAGGTCGCTTATCGCATTTTGGAGATAAACGATTCCTCGTGGTTTCATCATCAAATAGCTGGAACAGAGAAGTCTCGTGATTAGGCGGCCGCGTGCCAACGCAGATAAGAGCGGATTTTGTTGCGCTGGAATCGTCTCGCTGCTTTAAATTGGACTACGTAGCCTGAAGCAGACCCGATCGAAGCGGACTTGAAATTGTTTTTTTTTTCTTTCCTATTTCTGTGCGGTCGAGGCCATAAAAGTGGATATGAAAGACATCATCCGGGAAAGGACGGATCTGTACGACCGTATACGCTCTCTGTGTACGACACGGCCTACAGTAGAAAGAGATCCCTTCCGCTCCATGAGCAAAATCCGCAATTTCGAAGAATTCGAAAGGATCCCTGCTGGTGAGCGGACACGGGAACATGTTCTCGCCCGAGTTGAACCTCGAGATCAGAGCGATTCAGGCCTCTGATAGATGGCCCCTTCGAGCATCTCGACTTCAGGCTTACGATAAAAACTAGGGCTGTCATGATAGATCGATGCATCGATGCCACCATCGATAGTTGGAGATATCGATAGTTTTTCGACCATCGCGATGCATCGGCAAAATATTTTAAAGAGGAAATGTTCCATTGGATCGAGGCGAGTTCAGTACAATACAGTCCGTCCGGGCGGGGGGGGGGGGGGGGGGG